AAGTTCTTTTTCCTTTATTTTTAGCATAATTCTTTTAACATTTCAACAATTTAATTTTTTTTCCTCCTCCATAGTTAATTCCTCATTTAGGTTGAAAATTATTTCCCTAAACCAACAGAGTTCAAACTGTTTCTCTCAAAAGCACCAGAGATTATACCATCTGCTATGTACCTGACAGAGCTACACGGTGGACATTTGCAACAATCTGGAGGAATACGTCCTTTACACTAGGCACATCTCACCCATTTATAAGATCTCTGCTTTGTTCCAGAAAGCTCAGATGAGGTGAATAACTTTGGAATGATTGAGTGATATGGCTTCCTGTCCTCTTTAATTTCTCTCTCTCTCTCTCTCTCTCTCTCTCTCTCTCTCTCTCTGTCTGTCTTATTTGGTCTTTGATTACAAACATACACATATCAGTACAGAATCTAGAAAGACTTGGGTGCTCCAGTGATTCTGCCAGATGTAAACTACAAAATATAACGTGTTTTAAAGTGAATTCTTTACTCAATTCTGTACGCCCGAAGTAGGAGAGTTGAGCTAATAGATTGGTGGGAACTAACTGGGTAGAAAAATTAAAAACAATTTGGTGGAGGAAGCACTTGAGTGTGTTTTACCATTTTGTCCAGGAAACTTTGGATCTTTCTTTTTATTCGTTCTTTTCCATCCATAACTTGATCGCTCTTAAGTAATAACTTTAGTCCAAAATATCAGTCATAACAAAGGGACTCGCTGAAAATTACTGCTCATCAACACACATACGTGCATGCGCACACACACGCTCTCTGAACCTAATTAAAGCAAACTACCATCAATTTCCATCCCTTAGGCATCTCTAATGATATAAAAAGTGTCACAGTTGATAGACAATAATAGCCTTCCATTCAGGGCTTCTTATGGTCTACAAAGCTGGCACTCACACAATGAATAAGACATTGACTTGGGATTGCTAATGATGTTGAATCACTGAGCTTCACTTCTTTTCAGAGAGGTTATAGTAGCAATTAACTTCATAATTCAGGTGGTCAAGATGACTCACTGTTGAAAGCCCCTAAGATGTCTGAACATCAATTTTCTTTTAGGACTGTACTGGAAAGCTCTAAAGCAGCAGTGAAACCTGCTGTTGGGAATAGTAAAGCTCTAATGTTGAGGAAGGAGACCGACCCATGGGGAGTTTCTCACCCCATTTTTCATGGGGACTGAAGAGTCATTATGTCTCAGTTTTTGACGTATTCTAGGCTCTATTATACCTTTACATAATTTTCTTATTCAATAAGTCACATTAAAAAGGTGTGGGGAGACAATTCATCTGGGATCTCTTGCATTTCTGCATCAACTGCAAGCAGAGGTAGTGACGGCCTTTATTCTGAGCTATCTTTTCAAGGATGTGTTACCAAACACAAGTTTGTGTGCCACACGCACAGTGAGGCCAAACAAACCGAAATGTTGCAGTTTGGAGCAGAGGAAGGTTTATTGCAGGGCCAAGCAAGGAGAACGGGTAGCTCGTGCTCAAAACCCCCAACTCCATGATGGTTTTGGGGGAAAAGTTTTTATGTGCAAAATTTGGGGTGAGGGCTGCAGGGCATGTGACCTTCCTCTGATTGGTTGGTGGTGAGGTAACAGGGCAGTGTTCCAGGAATCTTGTTCTCAACCTAAAGTTGCCATCCTCCACCTGGGTGGGAGCTTTAGTTCTTGCAGAAGAACTCAAAGATATTGTTACTTATATTCCTTGAGGAGGAACCAGGACCTGTCCCAAGGCTGTGCTGTTGTGTCTTGACTGCTCCTCTCTTGTTTCTGCATCCCCTCCCTCCCCTGATTAGTAACTGTTTGAACCTGCCCTTTGGAACTCAGGGAGATCTAGGAAGCTGAAACCTTTATCCTGAAAATAAGAAATGGGGGACAGGAAAAGGTTTTTGTGCCCAGGAGCCCCACAGGGTCCTGCTCAGATGTTTGTATAGCTAACAGCTTTGGAAGATAGACAGGGTCTTCCTCTAAAGCAAATGTCAGGTTTGCTTCATTTATTGCTTATTACACTCCCCATTTAATAAAGACAATGTCTTCCTCTGTTGTTACAATCAGACAGGTGTACGGCCTATTATCAGTGTTCTGGCCTATTATCACATTCCCTAAGCACAGGGTCCCTCTCCCGTCACACAATCCACTGTGTGTGCAGGCATCACCCAGCCCTCTTCATGTTTCCTGTGGGGACCAGCACGAACGCTGCTACTCTGCTTCCTGCTGTCACTGTGAGAACAGACAATCTTTTGCCTCTGACCCAGGAGTCTCTTGTCTTCTGCCATCATCTGTGAAGCTCTGGTAGGCTGGCTTGTTGGAATGGAACCACACTAACATTTGAGGTCCTTCACCGTTCTTAACAAAGGACTCCAGCTGAAGAACAGGGAGAAATACAATGATGTGAATCCTATATGAATATAAATATGCCCTTTAAGCCACAGCTTCCGTAGAACCTCTAGCAGCTAGGTTCTTCCCTGCTGGGACTCATAACCTCATATTTCATACTTTTTTCTTTCGATGCTGGTCAAACCCCCAAGTTCCTGGTGAGGCAGTGGACGGTAGGGATGCTAACAGCGAGTGCAGTAGATACAAGTAGGTCAGGGGAAGGAGAGAAGCTACCTACACACTGGGGTCACATGGTATCCAACAGTATTTTTAAGGTCCGGCCAATTTCACTTTCTTTCTAACCAGTACTGATGTGTCTGGGGTTTAAGGCTTCCCAAGTCCATCATTCTCTGTTAATTAGTCTGATATTACTCCTAACAATCTCTGCTGTCCAGCATGGCCACGGTCCAAGAGGGCATCTAAGCAGCAAGTGGCCTTTTCTCTAGGGGGTGGTCCTTCACAGCAGCGATGCAGACGAGAAGAACAGGTAGGGTGACATGGATATAAAACTACATCCTTCATCGCTCAGCCTTGCTGGGCTCATCTGTGTCTCGCTTCCAGCTGTGCTTTCCCTGCCACAATGTGCTCACACTGCAGACTGAGTGATCTGGGCGAACCCTCCAGCAGCCTCTCATTCCACCCCGTACACAAGGCAAACTCGTTCTCAAGACCCCAGGGCTCCGAGGGGCGCCCCCTACCCTGCCCACCTCCTGAGCCGGCTGCCTTTCTACCTCCCTGGCTCAGTAGCCTCCGACCTTACCATCCTTTCTTCTTTTTTGTTGACAAACACGACTGCCTTCCCCAGGCTCTTCTTCCACCTGGTGCCTCTCCTCATGAAGACAGTTTAGGTGTCCTCTCTCCAGGGAAACCTCCCCTGACCACTTGTCCAGAAGTGTTTCTCTATCTGCCAACTTAGCGTCATTCTTAGTCCCCTCACCCATGTGACTCACTCCATTTCTATGTTTCACACTCCCTCTCACACTAACCACATGTAATGTCAATTATTGTGTTCATGTACCTATTGGTTTGTTGGTTGCTCGCTCCTGCTGTAGTGACTAGGCTTCCTAAGAGCAACTTTATCTGTCCTGCCCCCTCCCCAGCACTTAGAACACAGAGTTGGTGCTCACTGAGTATTCGTAGAATGAAGGTTTAATTCTTTGCCTATGAAGTAGGATAAGTAAACATTTGAGGCTACATATAAACTAGCTTTGTTTGTTTCTTTTTCTCTCGTAAGCACAAGCTTTAGGAACAAAACCATAGTGGCCAAAGTGTAGAAAACATTAGTCTGCTTCAACAGTTATAAATGTAACTTTTCCCAAGCTTTTGGCAATAACTACAGAAAATCTGCTTGAGTCCAATGATTAAAATGAAAGCAGACAACTGACCAGTAAGTATATAATAAGTTCAAGTATCAAAGAAAATTAGTCGTGAGAAGAAAGTCATTAATGACCATACTGTTCCGTTCTCGGCAAATAAGAAATAATGATGTTTCAAGTCTTACTCTCAGGTTATTATGCTATAAACATGAGAAAATTGTGTAAAAGAGTTTCAGGGAAAAATAATCGCCTACAGTTCCATGAAGGATTGCGTAGCGGAGGACAAATAATTTTCCCTCCACCCTTCTGAGTTCTTTTCTGAGACCCCTGTAATAAAAGACAGCTTAATGAGAGAGAAACACACAGAAGTTCGTTTCCTGCCTGGCTCATGTCCACATGGGGGATACGCAGGGGCAAATGGGCAGCTCCCCCAGGCAGCTTTTGGGGAAGGCGAGGTGGGACATGAGCCTCTTTGGGGAGTGTCAGTGGGTTTTAGGAGACATGATGGGGCATTGGAAGGATGGATGGGGGGGGCACTGTTTGTGATGAAGTGTGTCTGGGTGTGGTGTGGACCACACCTCAGTGTCTGCATCTCTCCTCTCTATGCTGCAGACGTACATAACTATGTCTCTAGACTCCTGTCCTGTGCTGGGAGTCAAGCCTGCCAGGTTGATGACACTCCCATGAGGGGACTGATGACACCTGGGTTCCTTTGGGAGGATCTGTCTTTAGGAGATAAAGGGGGGTTTAGAGAAAGCTTCTCCCTGCATTTGCTACTTTCCAAGTGCTTGTAGCCTAAAATCATCAATATACCAAAGTGGCGTATTTTGGGATGGTACGTCCTGAACCCCTGCTGGTACATTTGCGGGCAGCGCATCCTGAACCCCTGCACTCACATCTTGGGGTGGCACGTTCTGCTCCCCTTCGGTTGCATCATTTGGATTGGATTCAGTGCTAGTTCCACAGCATCTTAGAAAATAATAATATTCCACGGCACAAAAAGCAAAACCGAATATGACAATAACAGATCACGAAATGGGGACATTCTCTGCAACCACGAGACATACTTTGTTTCTTCCCCAGCTCTCTAACTAAACAGTTTGCCCCGCAATACATTTTGCTAGGTGATCTGTGCCAATGCTCACAGCTACCAGTACGAGACACGGAGGTGCTTCAATTTATATCTAGACACCAGCCCAAGGTCGAAAGGCCACATGTTCATTTGAGGCCAGAGCAAGGAGTTGTACGTTCTCTTGTCATAATTCACGTTGCATTTCGTTTTAGGCTATTCCGGATTCTGACGACATGTTGGTGGATTCATGCATGGGTACTCGAGCGCCCACCACATCATTTCTGAGCTCTGTCTACTGAGAGGAAGTCATATAAACCAGGTAAGCTGTACAAAAATTAACCAGTGACATGGCGATGGACCATCGTCGTCATCTTCCAGTGTGAATCCGTGACAGAGAGAGAGATGGGATGGGATGGAAATAGAGAGTCTGTTGGAAGTGCCCCCCATCACAGGACAGAGGAGGAAGTTGAGAAAAACATGGGTTTTAAAAGGAATATAACAGGTTTCCGTTGACTTAACGAGATGTAGGACGTGGTGGTAGAATGTTTTCTAAGATGCTTAGGAACGAGTCCCAGCAATAAGATGGATGTGAGTGAATGCAGGCTCCAGAAGAAAGCAGCAGTAAAGGTGCACAGGTGGGCAGGTGAGGGATGCCCAGCATTTAGTGGATTGGATGCTCTAACCTGGTGTCCAGAAGACTGCACACTCCTGTCTTGCTTGGAAGGCTATAAGGTGCAGGTGCTCGAAGTGGCAAAGAATGTTTGAAATATTTAAAATCAGAGCTAGGTCTTCTGACAGCAGGACTCCCTAGGAAGGTGGGTGCTGTTTCAGACAAAAGGAACCAGAGTCTGTACACAGTAACAGGAAGTATTCACCCAGACCGTGTCTTATTCTTTTCTTTCCTTTTGTTTCTTTCGTTAGTTCTTCCCTTCTTTCTTTCTCTTTTCTTTCTTTCGAGCACCTGCTGGGAATTTCACTCAGAGAAGCCATACAGCTTCTTATAGTGTGTCTTGTACAGATGTACTATTCTCGACGTGGGAATCACCCTATTAATAAATAAATGCCTTGTATGTTTCTCCGCCGAATGTCTGTTTCTGCATCAAGTTTCTTAAAACTCCAAGACTGAGGCCCTGAGCACGTCTCTTCTACTGTCATGTCCCAGGGGCCAAGCGTTTTGTTGGGCACATAGTAGATGATTAATAAATAGTTATTGAAGAAGGCAGTGAAAAGTGAAACGGCCTTGAGTTGACTCAACTAGTCGCCTGCGCCATAAATGTTACAGGGTTTTAGAAAAGGAGGGGGCAGGGCAGTGCGTATTCATGGAGGTGGTTGGATCTGGTTGAGACCTGAAAGGAGGGATGAGATTTCTAGAGAAAGAATCTGGACATCCCCAGAGGACAGTGAACCAGGCATGTCCGGTTCCATGTGATGGGAGTGAAAGAGAAAGAGTCCCATTAACTTGAAAGAGAGACGTGTACGGTGGGTAAGAAAGCAGAGCCATACGGACGCCTGGCCGTAGACCCACGTCTGTTTATCATAGATGCTGCTGCCGTTTTGTCGCTACATAGAAAACATCTTCCTTACAAAGTTGCTGGGATGTTTTCTTTGCTGGTAGGGGCAGGAACAGGAAGGAGTGATGGAACCATACTGAGATGCAAGCATTTGACATATTAATCATTTCTTGTTCCAAGTTAATAAATTGAGGGAAAACTAACTTAAAACTCAGGTTGGCAACATTAAGGAATGAAAGCGAACTTTTTTTGACAATCAAGTTACCTAATGATTAAGGTTCCATGGGAAGACGTATCCGACCTACGAGCTATGTGTAAGATGGGAACACCATCCTGGGCGATAATGCAATGAAGGTGCAAGGCATGTCGATTTCTATGAAAATGAAAAACATTAGAAAAGAAACTATGATTTGAAGAGGAAAGTTCAAATATCGAAATGGAAAATCCCTTGGAAACGCATCTCTGGGTAGGAAGGAAATTAGCTAATGCATTTTCTTACCCATATGTAAAGCATTTGCAGAATGGAGGAATCTTAAAAGCAAAATAAAACCACAGGTAACGCAGCATTGTTTGATTTACTAATTTAAGCAGGTGCCTATGGGGAAAAGGCTGTCTCTAAAATTAGGTAATAGTGACTGTAAGAGGAAAAACCCTTCTGAGTTATCACCAGTTGACTCAGATCAAACCAGAAGTAATGAATTACTCTCTGATAAAACGTGCAAATTGGTGGAAGAAAGGATGCTCGTCGCCATTGCATGCGTCTCTGAGAGGGGTTTCCATGTCGTAGCTGGTGGCGATCATGTAAGATATAATGTCGTGCATTCTATTTTGCATGATTGCCACCAACAATGACATTTAAGAGACCTGGGGCCCTGGTGAGTGTCTGCGGAAGACTCGGTGAAACCATCGCCCTGGGTTACAGTTGTGCCTCTGAGTCTTGCCTTCAATTCTTTCCCTGACTCTGTGTCTGTGCATCTCACCCATCCTTGCGTCTCTATGTGGTGTGGGCTCACAAAGATGTTCTCTGATACTCTTGGTATTGTCAGACACGAGAGGCATGTGCACCCAGGTGGCACACTCAGCTCGTTTTCACTCTGCGCTTTGCAGACATGAAGCACTGACCTGACATACACGTTGTTCCCAGAAGTCAGGGTAACTGGGACAGCGTGGGGACAGAAAATGCATCGAGTAGGACTTTGACAGCCCACCAGGAGGCAAGTCTGTATTATTGTCGATGAGGAAATAACGGCCTGCAGTCAGACTCCAACTAAAGATGGAGCAGGCAGAATTTGTAGGACAACTAACGAGCACAGGTGGTTCCTTCCCCTGTGGGTCAGACAGCTAATGGTACTGATGGTGTGGAAGTGGTCCCCTTTCCTTAGAATCTCCATCGTCTCAGGTCTAGTACATGGTTTTCCTGAGTGGCCCAGGAACAGAATCTAATTCCAGGATGTCAGCCCTGCCTTTGGGGACCGATGTCTGTTTGTATAATCCAATACTTGCAGCCTTGGGCAGAAGCAGCGTAATACACAAATGGCATATGCACCCCTCGCCTGAAGATAAGAAGTATATAGAAAGCCGTGATTGGAAGGGCCCTAAGTACACAGGATCTAGTTGCTCGAAGGTGATTATGTGAATGCATTTGCAAAACCTCTGCCCGAGGGCACCTGAATTGCCTAAAAGTAGACACAATCCACTCCTGAATCCTAAAGAAAACTGCAGTTATCTCTAATGTTCCATAAATAAGAATCCCATTCATGACTTAAGTGTTCACTAATGGAAACTATCACCACCCACCTCCATCGCCAAATGCCTGCCTGGCGGCTCGGAAGCCTGCACTAATTCCCGGGCTTGGGGAACCCAGAACTCACTGAATCCCTCTTCTCCCGACCTGCTGAGTGTGGGGATGGGCTAGTGATCTATCTGGGGCCCGGGTCGGCTCTTTTTGGAAGAGTTGCACATAGCTTTATAGCAGGTGAGACATCATGAGAGATCATCTAATTCGGATAAGGTGAGCGCACATTTCCTGGTGAGCCAACCGGATCTCGTATTTTGAAAACATTGGAGAACCTCATTCCACAAAACGTCACTAAACTCAGGTCCGGCCGCTTGCTGCTGCTCCAAAGCCCGTACTCGAGAGACAAGTGTTGGCGGGCAAGGAAAGTCAGCTTCACTCTGGAGACCGGCAGCGTGGGGAGAAGGCAGACTCATGTCCAAAAGCCAACTCCCCCCTGCTGATCAGTGGGCAAGAGCTTTTAAAGGGGAGTTTCAGGGGTGCTCAGGGGGAGGCAGGGGGCCCCATGCAGAAGTGGTACAGTCAGCTCTGACCATCATCTTGAAATTGGTCCTGCGGTGGTCTGACCGGTGTCATCTTGATTGTTTTACGTACAGTTAGTCTTCAGCTCCAGGATCAGTTTGTTCCCATTTCCTTGACACCAGTTCTCAGAGTTGTGGCAGCCTATGTCATGGCTACAGTCTGGTCATCATGTAGCTAACTTCTCCCACCTGGCGGGGGTTTCAGTATCTGCAAAACAGCTCACAGGACGTGGCTCAGAATATGATCTACAGCCCTTGAGGAGGAACGAAGGGTCTTTGACTTTGTTTAATGACTAAACTATTATTATTTTGTCCTCTTTGACTGTTTTCCTTTGCTTCTGCATTTTCTCGCTTCTCTGATTAAATTTATTGTTTGATGAAAGTTTTTCTGTAGACAAGAGGCAGGTGGACGACATGGGGGGTGGGAGTCTGTCTCGGGAAGGCCCCATAGGGTCCTGCTCAGTTACAATAATACCGAGAACATTTATTAATTATGGTTCTTTCCAGTGACACTTTTAAAGATGACCAGGCTGCTGTTCATGGGCTCCTAGACCAGCTCTTGTGTTTTAGAAGACGGGACACCAGGGAAAGGCCAGTCCTAGGCCAGAGACCATTACCACATACGCTCAGAAATCTACCATGTGTTTAAAAGTGTGCCTGGTGCCCAAGGATGGAGTTGTAGTATTCCAGGCAGGGTTGCACAGAGGAAAAGGGGGAAGGGGTCGGGCACCGGAAAGGCATGGACCTGGCAACGTCTAATACACTGTGTTGCCAGGACTTACTTGCACATTTGTAACACTCTGTAGAGCCCAAGTTTTCTCTTAGGTGGTGCAGACCTGGTGTGGTTATGGGCTCCACAAAGCTTGTACGGCACATAAGAACAAATAAGCCACTTGCAGAAAGGACTTTTCCTGGGACTTCCCTGGCCGTCCAGTGGTTAGGACTCCGTGCTTCCGCTGCAGGGGGCACAGGTTTGATCCCTAGTCGGGGAACTAAGATCCCACATGCTGCTTAGTGGTTTGCCAGGTCCAGGTACTTTTATTTCAGGTAGGGCTCAGCCTGTCCTGGTATCCGTCTGTAACCACCCTAGAATAGACTCTGACATGGTAACGTTTGGGGCCAGGTGATTCTTTGCTGCAGACATGCTGTCCTTTGCACTGTAAGATGTTTAGCAGCAGCCCTGGCCTCTGCACTAGGTACCAGTAGCAATCCCCCAACCTCCAGCCATGTTGAAAACCCAAGATACCCCCATACTTACTAAATACCCCCCACTTAATAACCAGTTCCCTAGAGGAATTAACTCCCCTGGGACTTTATAATGGAGGCAAAGGAGATAGAGAGGATTATGAAACTCACACCCTAGAGAAAGACATCTGGACAGTTTAAGACATGTAGTTTCTATTCCTGCAACAAATACAGAGGCCTTCTCAGGAATCGGGCAGGCAGCTCAGTCACCTAACTTTTAACCTCGAGAAGGCTCGGAACGGCAGGAACCTTCCCTTCTTTGCTCATGTGTCAATACCTTCCTCTGTCCAAATTGGAAACAAGAGCGTGTGGGGAATGTTGCATTCGGGGTCACCCCAGGAAACCACCACACGGCACCAGGTCGCGTCAGAATGATCATAAAACAGGGCCCTGCGATCAGCCTCTCGGGTAGAGATGCGTGTCTCAAAGCCAGATGGGTATCATCTGGACCTGTTGCCATGCGGGCCCGTGAAAGTTCGATGAATCGGTGCTCCTTCCCCAGTAGGTCCTGTGATAATGCTTCCTTCCCTGCTCGTGGGATTTGTGTGTTTGAAGCTTGATGAATGGATATTTCCTCCCAATGGATCATGTTTTACGTGTTCTCTCTCTCCTGGTTGGCTTTTCCTTGTTGCTATAGTTCTTGGTGCCGTGCGTGTGTGTGTGTGTGTGTGTGCGCGTGCGTGCGTGTGTGTGTGTGTGTACACCCACACATTTAGCCATCTAGCCCATCCTTCTAAGATGAGACACTTGGCTGGATTCATTTGTCATCATTAATCAAGTGAGTTCCACAAATACGAGAACGTACCGCAGAATATTAGGGTGGCGAGTCTTCTTTCCCTTAATGTCAGGGCGGCACTGTGATGACGCCTTCCTTGCCTTGGGTGGGGAAGCGAATGTCATCCACGTGGCGCCCAGACTGGTCCAGGGGCAGCTGAAATGCTTGGGATCTGAGCCGATGTGCTGGTGGGCAGTGTGAGAATGGGGACGCGAGTGAGCCGCAGTGGAGGGTGCTGGAGGCCACCTGCCCGGCTGACGCCGGGGGCTGCAAGATGTGATGCAGACCTGTGCCCCCCACTCCCCGCCATCCCTGTGTGTAGGACCCCAGTAGCCCTTCCTAGCTCCTGGCGCCTCCTGCATGCACCCCGTTCTCAGCAGTGCACTCCCTGCCCGGGGGCCCCTTGAGTCTTTTCCAGGCCGACCCCTAGGGCAGGGCGGGGCGGGAACGTCCTGAGAGCCCTTTGCCTCCGCCGGAGTCCCCTGGGCCTTTGCTCTCCGAGCACAGTGAGCCTCTGCTTTTCTGCCCGCGAAGAGCACGGGTCGCCCTGTGTAGCGTGCTCGCAATGGCCGACATTCCCAACATTCACAAGGAGGGTGGATAATCAATTCCCGAGTCCCACAGAGAGGCCGCTGCAGAGCATGGGAAGGGGGCTGGTCCTAAATGAGCCTGTTGTTGGGCGGCCGCGCTCCCCCGGCCCTGCTCTGTCCCTTCTCAGCGCTGTGCCTAAAAATAGCGAGTAATGAGCGGCGGCCACGAAGCACGCTCTACGGGCGCCTAGTGTGTCTGCATCCTGCCGGAGCCGGCGTGCCGCGCTCTGGTTCCAGTGGGTTTTCCAGTTTGGCATTCCAAGACCTAATTCATTTTCTGCCTGGCGCTCCTACACCCTGCATCAGCGCTGCCGACCCCCGCCGTCTGTGTAACAGATGCGGCTTTCTCAGGCTGCAGCCAGTACCGAGTAACTAACGTGAGATCAAGGCTGTAGCCGGCATGCTCTCCCCGCTTTTAAACAAACACCACCGTTTTCATCTAATCCTGCCTTTGTCAGGTCTGTTGGAAATTGGCTTCATTTTCTTTTTCAGTCCTCTCCCCCCACCCCTCTGAGTTTAAAACCAAGCGGGGGCTCCCCCGCCGCCTCGGAAGCCTCCCGAGCCGAGGGCTGCTCTCTCTGGGAGGGCTGCCTGCAGCAGGACGGATGCAAATGAGTCTCTGCTCCCGGCTCCTGACACTTAGGCGAGCAGACGCTTCCGAGGGGCTGAATCAAACATCACGTCCCTCCGGGCGAGCCCTGAGTCCCCCGGAGACGCACAGGGGAACGCGGACAGGGTTCGCCTACTGAAATCAAGGCAGCGGGCTGAGCCTTGAGCCCTGGACCAAGGTCCCAGGTAGATCTGCATCCCTCTTTCTCCTGGTGGCTCACCTTCATCCTAGTCGCGAGGCAGGCGTTCTGTGGCCGATAAAGGGCGTTTTCAGCCTTACCTTTCAAGGCTGCCCACTTAGCAAGTCGCAGCTTCCACACTTTGGGGAGAGCCAGAATTTCAGCGAGAAAAGGGAGCGAAACGACAGATGAGCCCCCTGCTCCGATAAGCAGCTCTGTTTCTCGCAGCCCCCTGCCTTTTCGTTTTGGCTCATTACAGCACCCTGAAAGCTTCTCTTCCGTGCTTCAGAATAGTCTTTTCAAAACGCCTCTTTACCGGGAGAAGTGTTATTCGTGGCATGGGGGATGGGTATCTTCCGGAGCGGTAGTCCATTATTGCTTACTGCCCCTCTCCGGGTCTAGAAATGTTCCTCGTTTAGAAGGAAAGCCGAGGCTTTTTACAGCCGCGGGTGAAAATGGACACTGTTACCTATTTTCGCTTTGGTCTGAGTTTCCATTAAGTAGGGAACCTGCTCTGAAGGTTTAGAAAGGAAAGTGCAGTATCAAGTATGTTACCCAGCACATCACTGTATCTTGGTGCTGTTTTCTTTGTGTTTCTCTGCTACCTCTTCCCCCAAAGGAAACGTCCATCAAGATGCATACAGTGGAAACAGTGTGTCAAGGGCATAGACAGGAGCGGACATCAAACACACGAAGGTTTAACCAACGCCCTAGGTCAGGGGGCAAAAAGAGGGAGGGGAAGAAATTATTCATATTTTTGTTATCAGAGAGGTTTGCAGCAGAACTGTGAGTTACTTCTCATACCTGGGATATTTTTTAATGTTCCTTGTGCCAAGAGCTTGATCTGGGCTTTTGATTTCACAAAGTGGGAAGGGTATTTACACTGAAGATATTTCTACATTTTATGTCACACCGTCAAGAAAAGAAGAGCTTTCCACATTGACTCAACTCTGCAGAGTTCACATATCCCGATAGTAGGCTCCCCAGGTTTGTAGGGCTTATTACTTGGCTGTTTTTTCCCCATCCTTTTTCTTATTTGTGGCTGTTGATCATATAAACCAATAAGAGAGTAAAATTGTATAAAAATGAGAATACAGGCAACATACACACTTTCGGGGGGACTCCACACCAAATACGGTCATAGAAAAATGAGGCATGTCCTTATCCGTGGCCTTTTTTTTTTTTTTTTTTTTTGAGAAATGGAAAATAAAGCCAGAAATGCGCTATTTACAAAATCTAACTGAGGTGAACTGACACCCAGCTATTTAAGGAGTGTGTTCAAATAGGCACGTGTAAAGAGCCGGCCACTTACGAATTCAGAGCAAATAAAACCACATAGGTCAGGCTTATGAAAGTGTCAGCTCAAAGCAAATGAGGATATTTCCATTGGGGCACCTCTGGGAGGGAGCTGTTCAAAGCAGTGAATGTACTTATAAAAACACCTCACACGTTGCGCTGTGCTCTGCGCTTACAAAGTGCTTTCCCCACACGGAGCGCCTCTCCTCTGCTGATTCTGAGCAGCTCCCGGGAAGGAGACAGAGTGTGTTTCCCCGCTTCCAATGTGGATAAAGAAATAAGAGGAGAATTTAAATGCCTGGCTCAAGCATCATACATACCGAAGAAACAGAGGGAGACTGGAAAAGTCTTAGAGAATAAACGTGACTCTGTATTTATTTCCCCCCTGGTTTGGTAGGACAATCAAGCCAATATTTCCTATATACTCAACGTAACCAGTAATTCATTTCTTCTTCCTCATTCGTGACGTGTAGGATTTCCATCCACGGGAAGAGCTCATACCTGAAGAAGTACTCAGCACAGGGTAAGGAGGAAAATGTGCAAGCTCTACGATCTGCTCATTATAATTCTAAATGGAACCAAAGGAAATATACAGAGAGGCCGGCAAAGAGTTATTGTCAAGAATATTCACTGAGCGCGATTTATATTGGGGAAAAACTGGGAAAGGCCAAAAGGCCCCCCAGAAGGGATGGTTAAGTGAATCATAGGCTTGTTTTGTGTTAGGATATCATAGATAAAAGTGGGAAGTTATATTTTCACATAATGATCCATGATGTGGGAAAATGGACAAGATGTAGAGTTAGGTGAAAATATTGCAAGTTATGAAATCGTACGTAGGGCATCAGTTGTGAAACCATAGAGTTGCCTTGGGGACTTTCGTGAAGCGGGGGCTGACTCTGCCTGCGTGCAGAGCTCCTGATTCAGTAGGTCTGCGGTGGGAACCCAGAATGTGCACTTCTGCCAAGTTCCAAGCTGATGCTCTTGCCACTGGTCCAGGGGCTCCACTGAATTAAACAATTATGTGTTTAGAGGGCTGACAAGGACATCTTTGCTTATGGGGCAGAGCTTGTCAACACTGGCTGGCGTTCGGACTCCATGGGGGAACTTTTAAAAAATGTCAGTGTCCGGTGGGCGCACGAAGTGGTCCAGCCACTGTCAAAAACAGTTGGGCGTTTCCTCGATGAAAAATGGAATTAGCGCACGACCCTACAGTTCCTCCCCTAGTCACGTATCCAGAAGAACTGAAAACAGGTGCTCAAACAGATGTACACGAACAGGGCAACTCAGAGTCAGCAAAGGTGAAAACAGCCCGATGTCTATCAACAGTTTAAGAGATCAGGAAAATGTGGTCTGTGTGTCCAGTGGAACAGTACTCACTGTAAAGGGGTGACACAGGCTACAGCGTGGACAAACCGTGAGAATATTAGGCTAAGGGAAAGAAGCTAGACACAGAAGACCATATTGTGTATCATTCTCCTTACAGGAAATGTTCAGAATAGGCAAGTCCTTCGAGACAGAAAGCGGGTGCTAGCGGCTGAGGGCAGGGGGAATGGAGAGGGACTGCTTAATCTTACAGGATTTCTCTGGGGTGATGAAAATGTTCAGAAACGTCTTAGTGGTGGTGGTTGTACTGCCTTGTGAATGTACTGGAAGCTACTGGATAGTACGTTCGAACGTGGTTAATTGTATGTTATGTGAATTTTATCTCACTTTTAAAAGAATATCCAGGCAGCAGCGTAGAGCTTCTGATTTCACAGTTCTGGGATGAGCCTTCTTTGAAAGCTTCCCGGTTGATGCCAAGGTGCAGCTGGGATTGACTGAAAACCACTGGCCGGGTGGGGATTCCAACAGCAGTAACTCAGGTAGCCTGGAAGGGGGTGAATGGAGCTTCAGAAGATGAAGGGGCAGCTTCAGCAGGTGGACTCTGTCCCTTTGCTACCCAATGTCTGTATCCCAGCAGTATCCCCCCGCCTGGGAGCTTGTCAGAAATGTAGACCCGCCGGCGCCTCCCCAGACCTCCTGAGTCACGGTCTGACTTCTGGCAAGATCGCATGGTTTACTACCCGCTGACGCTCCAGGAGCACGGGAGCGATTGCACGGCCTCTCCAATGGCGCGTTTCATGCCAAGAGTTACGATTCCTTCTCCCGAGACATGGGGTTTCTATCGTCCTAGGGGTTTTAGAAACGCTGCTTGTAAGAAAGTGGATGAAATTCATATCCTCGGGTATCTCTGAGTCTTCGAGAACCTCACGCGTCTGACTACTCTCCGTGAGCGTTGCATGGTTTGGTATGTATTCCTGTCCCAAACTATTTGGAAAGTGGGACTCCTTTTGAGGACCACTTTCCGACGCTGACGGATGCTCGTCCTTTTCTATAAGGATAATGGCAGAATTGCTGCTTCAGGACCATTTTGAATCTTTTGGACCTGCTCCATCCAGTAGAACTTCAGAAACCACCTTGAATGTTGTAGAACTCCCAGAGTGACCCTGTCTTTCAGTATCCAAAGACACTGAGCGAGAAGCGGTAGATAGAAATGACCACAGACTTCACCGAAATGTGCGGCTTTAAGACAAGAGGGGATGTGGAAGTTGGGGGGGGAGGGGCAGGATTCCTCTACAACGTGGCTTTCCTCATCCTAAGCCAGGAAGACTCCTGTGAAATTTCAGCCCACAGTCAAGCTAAACCGGAAAGGTGAGATTGTCTAGACACACTGGGCATGTGCCTGCAAAATTCTCCGCCTTCCACTCATCTCCAGCACCATGGACTTGTCTATCAAATATCCCCAGGTTACAGTTGGCCCAACTAATGCCTAAGAAAAAGTTTAATATGTGTCTTTCAAATCCATGCTGAGATGACTCAATTTCTACAAGATAATAAATCTACCCAGACAGGAAAGAAAGCTCATGAACTTGTGGACAAAAACGTCAACAGCCCCCTTTGTCCTATCGACAGACCATTTTCCTCTCTGTAGTTCTCTGAATATCTGATAAATCATACTCAAATTTGTTTTTCTGGCAATGGCTGGAAAGAGCAATGCGCTTTTTAACCTGATGCAATGCATTCAAGAAGGTGTGTGGATGCGGACCTCAGAGGGCAAAGATGAGATTGGTTCCAATATTGAAGTGATGGAAAATGATTTTCCTGTGCTGCGTGTCAATCTTTTAATATTAGTTCATAGATGGGATGATGAGTCTATCTGTAGCCCTTTAAACCCAAGCTGCCCCTTAGCTTTCACTTCTGCTCAAGATTTCATGAATCGATGACAATAACCATTGTACAAAAATGAGGACAGTAGGTTTTTTTCCATTTTAATATAGTCAAAAGAATATCCTGGGCTTCCCTGGTGGCGCAGTGGTTGAGAGTCCGCCTGCCGATGCAGGGGACACGGGTTCATGCCCCGGTCCGGGAAGATCCCACATGCCGTGGAGCGGCTGGGCCCGTGAGCCATGGCCGCTGAGCCTGCGCGTCCGGAGCCTGTGCTCCGCAACGGGAGAGGCCACAACAGTGAGAGGCCTGCGTACCGCAAAAAAGAAGAAGAAGAAGAATATCCAGCCCAGGCCCACATTTCTGAGCTCAGTTAGTTTCCAGAGATTTAACGGTTCCATAAAACAAGTGATTCGCAAACAGTTTGAAGCAACGAGTGAGCAGAAGCAAATAAAATGAGGTGAAATGATGCTCATTGCTACTAGGCTGCAGGCATTGAGGAAAATGTCTTTTAAAAAAAGGCTTTCTAGTGAGAAAATTAACATCTGCTTATTTATTTATTTCCTGGATAGAGGACATATGTGAAGGCATCTTCTGTTCAACATGCCTTTGGTTCTGTGTTCCTAGGCACATGCACAATTTCTCTGTTGAGCTTTCGCAGGGAGCTGCAAACTCTAACCTATGGGCCAAATGCAGGCCCCATCTGATTTTGAAAACTTCTTTTGGACCACGGCCATGCTCGTTCATTTCCATACTGTCTACGGCTGCTTTCACACGGCACAGCAGTTGTGCAGTTCTGGCCCTTAACAGAACACTTCTGCATGTGAAGTTATTTCTGCATGCACCTCATGATAGGGAGAGTTAAAATATCAACACTTAAAAAGAAAAGACAAAAACCTATATCCACCTATGATGGATAAACATTATTTCTGGATGTGTCTGTGAAGGTACATCCAGATGAGACCAGCATTGAATTGGTACACGGGACAAAGCAGGTGGTCCTCCTCAGGGTGGGTGGGCATCAACCTATCTGCCGCGGACCTGAAAAGAACAAAAAATGGAGGACTGTTGAATTCCCTCTCAGTCTCTCTGGCTGACTGCTAGCTGGGACACTGGTGTCCTGTCCTTGGACGGAGAAGGACACCATTGCTACCCTGGTTCTCAGGCCTCCACACTCAGACTGAGGCCCTTCCTGGGCCTCTGGCTTGCAGAGGGCAGGTGTTGGGACGTCTCAACCTCCATAACTGTGTCAGCCAATTCCTTATATAAATGATCTTCAGATAAATAGATAGAAAGATAGATCTACACATAGATACATATCTCCCATTGGTTTTGTTTCTTTCTGTGGAGCACCCTGGCTAATACAAACAGGAATCCATTAAGTTTTCTTAACTCTTGTTGCCCAGTTCTACAAACTTTCGTTGAGGACCAACTCTGTGGATGGTGGGGTGAAGATTAGAAAGACAAAGGAAACAACTCTTGCCCTTAAGATGGTCTAATGGGTGAGATGCAAAAGACTATGAACTTAAGTGGAGAGTCAGACATGCCTTGAGAGAGATATTCACAAAGTGTCTACTTTGGATGATGGATCAAAAAGGTATAAAACCCATAACAGAATAGGGTTGCACAAGGTTTCATCAAGAAGATGTATTTCTGGTAGTCTTCAGAAATGCAATGTGTGAAAAGGAAAGGGCATTCCAGGGTGCAGGACTGAAGGTGGCCAGTGCAGGTGGTGTCGAAGTATCCCAGACAAATGGGTTTCTGGAGCAGAGCAAAAGTGTACCACTTCTGAGTGGCACGTTTCCAAGGGGGACCTCCTCAGGTGTCCTCTGTGACGGTTCAGTGCCCCAAGGCTCTGAGCCTGGGATACACAGAAGAGAGGAGTGGGAAATAAGGCAGATGGGACTGAGCTGGGATGGGGGCAGGTGCGACTTCCTGGGTGGAACAATTTCGGACGGCAAAGCAACAAACTATGTAGAGTGATTTAACTCTTGCATGTGTTAGTGGGCTGGATTGGAAGAGGCAAAGCCTTACTCTGTTGGGGAAATCTTCCATCCCTTGATGATTTTTGTCATCAGACAATGGGGTGTCACCATCTTTTTCTCATCATGTGACACCTAATGGGAGAAATTTGCTTTCAGGTATAGGTCTTCTGTTCATACCCACCAAGCAGCCTGACACTGCGTGTCGTTTGACCAGGTTCTGAATGATTTAGGAGTTGACATTCTGTTCCCTTTTTTTTTTTTTTTTTTTTCTATTTATGGCTGTGTTGAGTCTTCGTTTCTGTGCCAGGGCTTTCTCTAGTTGCAGGAAGCAGGGGCCACTCTTCATCGCGGTGCACAGGCCTCTCACTATTGCGGCCTCTCTTGTTGTGGAGCACAGGCTCCAGACGCGCAGGCTCAGTAGTTGTGGCTCACGGGCCTAGTTGCTCCGCGGCATGTGGGATCTTCCCAGACCAGGGCTCGAACCCGTGTCCCCTGCATTGGCAGGCAGACCCTCAACCGCTGCGCCACCAGGGAAGCCCGACATTCTGTTCTTGATGCAGATGGACACAGCATGCATCAGTGGTGGCATGAAATATCGCTGGAGGGATGCAGCCCCACCTAAAAGTTGGCAACCTGTCCATCGTCTTCTTTCTTCTTTGCCGATCATAGGACAAAGGCGTTTCTTATAGCCTTAAATTAACTTATGTGGTGAACCGTGCCAGTGTGTGATATGTGTCGACCCCAATAGGTACCGAGAGGTAAGACGTGGATCCATCGCGAAGCCCTGAAAACAAACGTGGCGCACCTGCCTCCATCCTTACCTACCTGTGTGGTCTTGGCAAGTCACCTCACCACTCTGGGCCTCTGGTTTCTAAACTCCAAAACAAGGGGGCAGCAAACTTTTTCTATAACAGGCCAGATGGTAAATGTGTTTGGCTTTTCAGGCCATACAGTCTCTGCTGCATCAACTCAGCTCTGCCTTTGTGGAGACCATAGGTCAGTGAATAGGTGTGGCCAGATTTGGACTAGATCTCTGGACTAGATCTCTCCCAGCCCTTATTAACATCTTGTGATGGCAGATGAACTTATCTACAAAACAGGAACAGACTCCCAGACATAGAGAACAGACTTGTTGCCAAGGGGGAGGGGGTGGGGGAGGGGTGTACTGGGAGTTTGGGATGAGCAGATGCAAACTGTTACACATAGAATGGATACCCAACAAGGTCCTACTATATAGCACAGGGAACTATATTCAATGTCCTGTGATAAACCATAATGGAAAGGAATATAAGAAAAGAATGTGTATATATGTATAACTGAATCACTTTGCTGAACAGCAGAAATTAACACAACATTGTTAATCAACTATACTTCAATAAAATTTACAAAATGAATGAATATCTTGTGATGGGAAGGCAAGGAGAAATTCAGAATTTTCCTGAGCTTTTCATTTCTCATGGGAGAGAGCTCCCTTTGGTCAAGGTAAAAATTTGGCATGGGGGAAACATACAAAATTAAAAGAGAACCCATACAATGGGAAGGAATCGGATTCAGTCACCCCATTCACCTGTGCTTTAAGCTTGTCATTCCCAAGGCAGACTTTGGAAAGGCTTTGGAGATCATTTGCAGAACAGGCTGTGCTTCCAACATGTCTTCCTTTTGGATCGCCTGGGCTCCATGGGGGCACATGGATCCCAGCAAGTGATTGGAGACTGTTGCTTCCCATCATTGTTTGCTTGCCACCAAAATTGCTATTTATTTAAGAAGGACTGAGAACCCAGCTGCCGGGCTTCCCTGGAATCCTGTCCGACAGACTCAACGAGCCTGTGATTTTTCTATAAAGCAGCTCTCTGAGCAGCGAGAAGATGCTGCAGTGATTACACACCTCTGCAGTTCCCTCAAATACGGGAAAACGTAGACAATGCAAAAGACAGACTCAAAACACAAGCTATCAGATGAAGCCTTCCTGACAGCATAAACAAGAAGCAAGCAAGAAAGGGGGAAGAAAATCATCCTGATTTTTGTTTGTCTGTTTGAACCACGGAATTGAAATGGAGGCCCCTGACACCCTGCCTTGTTGCCGTGGGTGTCTCAGTGATGAACAGTCACGGGCTCCCTCCCGCCCACCCCCGTGGATTCATGAGGGGCCAGCCAGGAATTGCAGAACCGCCACGTGGTGTGACCTTACCTGTTAAGCTTGTCCTGCCTTCCCTGCCGAAGGTGAGGAGGGCCGTCAGCACGCGGCCGACTGTTTCTCCCACACCTTAACGAGAAAAATTGACCTGCTTACTCTCCAGCTGTCTTCTGTGTGTCTGATCCTAGTAATTTCTGCAAAACTGCCCCCTCCTTACATGTTGAAATCAAGCAGAAGCCCTCAAGGATGGC